TGCAACGTAGAGAAAGAAACCAGTCAATCTGTCCAGCCCACTCAAAAATAGAAACACGAGTGCGTTGCATCAACATTCGTTCCCAATTGACCCACTTTCGATTTCGTATGTGCAAAGTCCAGCCTACATTCAATAAGTTCATCATCAGGAATTTATCGGGGCTATTGCTGTTTCAAATGGACAAGTTTTTGGATATCAAAAGAGAGCATTTTTCCAAACTGCATCGATCACCCATGAAGGAATATGGGAAATTATGAATGGGGTTCAAATTCATTTTATATGAGGATACTTTAGCCCTTTTCCCTTGACTGTACTTAGCATGATCGTGCTGAAGAAAAACTCAACCAGAACCTATATTGGGCTGAATTTAAACCATCATATATCCAAATTAATAAAGGATTACTATAAATGCACTCTATATATGTATAGTAAATAAATGACTGGCGTTTGCATGTGTAACAATTATTTGAAAACATTGTTCTTATCACTTATCTCTGACGTAGGAAAGCCACTCACGTGCCGGTAAAATTGCTTTTTACATTTCATGTAGAAGCCATAAAAAATTAATGATCGAACATCATAAAACATGAACTTTTGATCCTGCTCAATCCGGTAATACAACCGAATTATTTCCTAGCAATTGTTATATCACATCATCCAGCATTCCAAAAGATCTACAGTTGTTAGCGATAGATTAACAAAAACGCTCAAATTCCAAAAAAGTATTTACAAACTTCAGTACTAATACATGATCGGTTCCAATTGCCAACAAAAATTACTCATGTTTAATTCAATTAGCGAATAGTGGCGCGTGTATTGAAAAAACTAATAAAATCGTAACTATTCAAGAGTGTCATCGCGAATTTTACACCAATTTAGAATCAGTCTCGTATCTTGCACGTGGTTAGTTTGCTCTTCTGTTAGCACCATTATTGTTAATTGTGAACGAAAAAATGTTCACATTTGTGATCTTGTTGGGGCTTACGCGAACCGGGCAGTTTGCCTTTGATTTCTTTAATTTGCTGCCAGCAAAGTAATACTGGTCATTGTACGTTGCATTTGGTTAAAGGCTCAGTAAACTTTACAACTGGCTATAATTTTATTTAGAAGCCGATAAATTAATTGACTCGGCTTGTTTCCTTGTTCCAGCCATATGCGGTCTCGTTATAGCATGCACTTAAAACGGCGCCAGTGGAACGCGTCGCGACGCTCTACCGCCGGGTCGATACCCTGCATCCAGACGGTCAACTAATGCCGCTTTATATTTCCAGGCCTGACATATATTTATTGCAAAATTTGACCGAATTCCTAACAGTTAGTTGCCGTTTTTCGTTCCAGATCCGGGAATGCAACCCGCTATTACTACTATTAATATATTTACTAATAAAAATGCAGGCAAATATTCATCAACAAGAATAGACTGCACAAAAATGTGGAAACAGAACTGAAAGCTGGTGAAATGTGCGAATATATTAGTAGAACAAGAACAAAGCCCCTAAACACGCGCACTAAAAAATGAAGTCGCGCAAAAGTCAGGAAAATGTGCGAATCTATTAGTGGAACAAGAACAAAGCTCCTCATCCCGTGTATTAAAAAGAGATGCCAATGTCAAAACATCACTGAAAGCTGGAAAATATTAGTGGAACAAGAACAAAGCTTCTCAACCAGCGTATTAAAAAGAGAGGTCACGCAACGGTTGAAGGCGTGGCGTAGCGGGGTTACGTCTAGTTTGTTGTCTACTTCGTTCCTCCCATTCGCCAGCAAACGTTCCTTTACCGTTACAACTAAATGGATTATTAGCTGAATTGAAACTCCCTATCTTTGCAATCTAAATACGTACTTTTAGCATTACAAATGTGTTAATATCAGGCATCACATAACCTCCCGAAGCCTCTACTTTATTTCGCCCTTGCATTTTACTGCGGCGCCGATGTAAAGCGGTTATGGGGATGCCTGAGATTAACACATGTCTTGATCTACATAGACTTACCTCCAAATCAGTTCAACTAATGAATGCGCCATTATATTGCATATTAAGTTGCAATTATTTTCTAATTAAACAAACATGCGATAATAAAATGTGGTTCATTGGCTGATGTTCACTATGTATGTAAAATTCCAAGCAAATTCTGTCATCAATAAATCATGGAAATATTGTTGGGTCTAGCCGATAATGGAGATTATTTTTGAAAACAATAAAATTTTAATTTCGTTCGTAAAACATTGTTATTCACGTGCGTCAGTCTTTAGGGGGGGATTATCCGCATAGTTTTATCAGCTATTTTCTACATAACTATGACGCTTCTTGTTATACTTTTTGCATAATCGCGTGGCTTAAAAAAGGTAAAAATAACGTTCTATTTTATCAGACAATCTATTCAAAACGGAAAATTTTCGAAAACAATGAATAAAGCTAATATTAAATCGACCAGGCTTGCCAAATTAACTATACAATCCCTGATCTATAAACCCATTTCTACCATGGTTATTCTAATCGCCGTAAAACTGTTTAGTGAAATTTGACTATATTATCAGCTATAAAGGAAAGTGCAAACAATTCATCACCCGCGCGTAAAAATGTATGTACGCACATTAAAACAAAGGTATTCAACAATTGATTTCAATCGATATATTGATGATTGCCCGCAAGTGTCCAGATATTTCTGTTGTTTTCGTCGGGTGATTAGTTTTTTAAATGACCTTTTCGAACAATCTAATATTGAATGTTATTGGAATGGAGCAAAGTGCATAAAACAGGAATACATTTAGTCGTATTAATTTGACCTGTTTGGCGTTGATAAAATTAGATAATTAATTAAAAAACCGCATTTTTATTACATGCAATTAATATTTTATTGTATGAAAAACTGGCACCGAAAAACTGGAATCTAGTTGTTTTGACTTCATGTATTCCCCTTTATAGCAAAATTAATTACACTTCGATACTGGTAAAAACTCTGTAGAACGCAAACAATCAAACATAAAAATGTACACAAAAACACAACCAAATCTAGATAAAAGCTATCAAATTAAAACAGAACTTACCAAGATCCAGGTTGGTTTTTTGCGTATCAAAATGTCAAATTAACAAAATATTTCGTTGCCGGTAATTGGGTTAATTCGATTGAAAAAAGTCCAGACAAACTGACCCAGACTGTAGGTTGGGCACTGTTGGGATAAACTGGATATATATCTTGGGGAAGAGTATCTATTCACAGTGTTGTCAGCTTGCGCGTTTTTTGAATACATAAATAACCGTTTAAGGTAATAAATAAATATTTAAATGTTAGTGGGAGGATTGAGTTTTTCGTTGATTTATTCACGCGCAAAAAACATTAAATAATAACAATAGAAGTAATCAGTATTCATTTCAATTGGATTTCGTTCAACAACGCGCAAGATATTGCTTGGATATTTTAGCAAGAAAATAGTCTACTTTTCGTTGCTTGAAAAATTCACAAGCCAGTATTGTTGTGACTGCCCTGCTTGTGCAATATTGAAAAATAACGTAAAACAAGTAAAGAAACTGTTACATACGTTGAATGCAAACAGCAAAAAAATATTAACTGAAAATGGAGAAATTGGAGAAACAATGCAACATTTGATCCTGACCCGGACTTGAAAATACAACGTTATGACGTAGCCAGGATAAACTCCTGCCGTCAGCAGGACTACGCATTGATTGTGGGAGGCTGAAATGGGGAGGAAAATGGGGAAACCTTGCAAAATGCCAAGGCCTATATAGCTGCAGGTTTCCATTGGAATATGAAAATTGACATTAAAAACCCACTTTTTTCCAGAATTGAACATTTGAAATCATTTTTGAATGGAATAGTCACATCTTCTGAATGGTCATGAAATCGACCAATCACAACCATTCGCTGCTTAACATCTTTCTTCAACACTTTTCAATTTAATGAGTATCAGTATCAGTATAAATCAGGTTGAATTTAAACATTTCACACACACAAATTCCATACATTTGGAATTCTCAAGATTACAAAACTTTGAAGTTTGAAATAAATATCGGATGTTTAGCTGCAATGTGAATAATAATAACTATTGAGCAAGAAATGTTTCAAAATACACTGAACAATATTTATTTGCTATTTTAATTATTTCGTCATTAACCATGCGATTATAGCAACACGTATGAAGCATCGATCGACAATGAGCTCTTACAACAACCAAAAAATATGCAGCAAAACTGATGAGTAAATATTTTGAAAACTAATATCTTTGATCTTAACAGCCACCCACCAATTTTTCGTAAAAACAATCCTCCTTTATTATAGATGTTGGCACAGTTTTTTCCCGAAAGCATAAATTTAAAAATATGGGAGTCATTTGAACTGGAAGTTCGGAGAAAAACTGACGGTCCAGTCATTGCTAATACGAAATTCATATTATTAGCAGATATTCACGGCTTAACGAACTAATCGCATACAATTCCTGGGACTTTACTGCGAAAAATTCAAATAATTGGCGCATACCGGACGTGCTGTTCAAATTAGTTTGTTTAAATTGGTGTTCAACGTTCAAAAAAATTCATTATAACTCAGTTTCCTATGGGTGGCTTTGTTATAATATATATTAACATTTTTGTGTCTGGCCAGTGGTACAGTATCTTATCCTGCGGTGCTAATGCATATTAAATTACCCATTTTGTAAAGATAAAAATTATTTTGGTTAATGCACTTGTGACTGTTAGATTCGTTGGAAAAATGATACCGATGTTAATACGTCCACATATTTGACTTTGCTCATGAAACTCACATATTTTACATCAATTTACTGTTTATCGCACTCAAATATTTAAGCAAAGGTTGTCCAACTATTTTAACTGTAATCGTAAGTTCTCAAATCAAAATCAATTCTGATTACACAACTAATTGAATTCAGAAGGCTGCACTTAGCCACATGCATGCATTGATTACACTCGAACATTTTTGGTTCGCTATACATAAATTGATAAGCTTTTATGCTCTTAGGCCACTTACCCAAAGTTGTGCCAGCCCTAATCGCAAGAGCCTGATCTGTAACAAAACATTTTATAATGTCACTGTTCACTTAATGAAAATAATTAACAAAATACACAAAGAGAATTTAAAGAAATTTTGACTGACAACACCAAATAATATAACTTGTGGACCTTGTCAATATCTGTTCGCAAGTCATGTTCTATTAATTCACCACAAAGCTCTCTAAATCTGGCTTCTGCATGGTTGGAAATGAAACATTTACAAAAACCCATCTGCTTCCTACTGGAAATCAGCCTTATCGAGTTCGTGAAAGATAAGCTGCCCTTTTTCGCGAATCCCGAAGATAAAATCGCTAAATATTGGGAGTCGCAGTCCAGAACGGAAATTATACAAAAAGCTGACAAAATGTTCAACGAAGGAAAATACATGGATGTTTATGAAGCCCTAAATAGAATGAAATATAGGTAAATGCAATAGTAATGAACACTAACTATTGCGAATCAAAAGTAATGAATTTAGGCCGCACAATGAGTCACTCCAGAGCAAAGTTGTTTTGCTCTAATTGAACCCGAGACTAACATTTCTCATTTATCAACAAGTAAAATTAGATGCTCTAGTTTACCAAATGGTGTGCATTTGGTTTACATGCACCTAAATAGATTGCACCAAACTCGATTACATTATGGCTTAAGTTAACAAATGAAACTTTCCAGCAAAGACTTCGAAGTGGTATGGAGACTATCTAGAGCATTATATAACTTATCACTGCATACCGACCTAACTTCAGAGATAAGGAAAGCGATGATTGGAGAAGCGCACAATATTTTAGAAAGTGTTAACACCATTGGTAATTCCTTCCATTTAAAAAATCATACACCCAATTTTTCCTATGGAGTCGCGACACTTTAGCCTGATTATCAACACTTAGGAAATGGACAAAGTAATTACCACAAGTGGATGGCGGTAATCTCGAACGCCAAAAATGGCTTTGAAGGATTAGAAATGAAAATAAAAGAGTATCCAAACATCCGCAATCATTTAATTAAGGCGTGCGATAGTGACCCGCAAGACTTTGCAGGTCAGCTATAAAAAGACTGAGTCTATTAAGAGCTCATAATTTATTCAATTAATACAGTTCAGTACATGCTAGGCCGATGGCACTATGAAATCGCCAATCTTACGTGGTTCCAGAGGAAAATCGCCAAATACCTCTACACGGAACCGCCAGATGCCAGCCATCAGGAAGCGTATAAATACTTGAACAATGCCGAAGAATTACGGCCTAGAAGCTTTATACCCAACATCTATATCTTGGGATGTGCTTGCATGAAGCTTGGACAGTATTACCGGTAAATAATCGTTCAGTTAGATGAGAATTTTCGAAAGCTACTTAAACTCTTGCAGGGCAAAGTACTACCTAAATCTGACCCTAGGTATACCAGCGCACAACGAATGTGAAAGATGCTGTGCGTCGGGAGCCCAAAATCTTTTAAGAAAATTAGAAAAGTATGATTTGGGCAAAGATTTATTGTATGAAAATCCTCATTTTAGTTTTGAAAATTAAAGTTTAATTTCATATTTCCCAGCAGTTAAATCCAAGTATTACAGCCGATAACATTGTTTTTTTATGTACCATGCCAAATCAACGTAATCGAATTACAACATTGGCGACTGTTAAATTGCCAAACAAACGTATGAATTGCGTACGAATATTAGGCCGTGAATGTCTAAACATTATTTTATTATGATATAGATTCTTTTATGGTTTTATAGAATAATAGGACTTTTGTGCCTTCCAGCTCTCTTCAAAATTAAATTACCTCCTTTGATGATTTCAATTACTTACTCTCAAAGAAAATGTTGTGAAGTGAGCTGTGATGTTCAAAGTCTGGATCATCAGAATCGAAATGAATGTCGTCCTCGAATTCAGTGAATCCATCGAGGTCCTCCAAGTGCGATTTACTTTGAACTCTCAGCATCTGATCCAAAATTGAAATACATTATTGACTGTTAAAATAACAAGTGGAACGAATCAGAGGAAGTCACTTTGTTGTCTTCAAACTGTTCCATCATCTGAAATCTTGGACAAACATTTGAACACATTATCGCCCCATCCACAGAATCTGTGGCAAAAACTATCAAACGATTACTCAGTGTGTCAAACAACAAAGCATTTTCCAATATATCTTTATATGACAAACCTAGCTTAAATTAAAGCCATCTATCGAATACCGGAGTCCTGCGAGAACTGAATGAAGCTACACCTCATAGCAGGGTAATTTTGAAATATTGCGATATTAATATTGTTTTTTCCTTATAAATAAAAGGGTATTCGTTGCGACTTGGCATAACAGAAAATGTGGGAAAATGATGTCCAACAATCCAAAATTTCGGAGCCCTTCGAAGGTATTTGGGCCCCGAAATTTTAGGATGAAAATCGTCACTAAATATCAATTCCTGTGACCATATGCAACCGACCTAAAACGACTATATAATATTACTTAATCATTAAACTACCAGCAGTTCTTGTTGTGTTTACGCCAAAACCCAAAATATAAAATGTGCTCTATTTTTAGGTCACTCTTTGATGTATTAATTCGAAGTGTCATGTTGCATCAAAGCAAAAGCACAGATTCTATGTATCACATATAATTTGCGTATAATTTCTAGCCGAATGACTGTATTTTTATTAATAATTGAATAAAACTTGCGTACATTTCAAAACACTTCCAATTTTTCTAAAAAACACAGTGACACCCAACAAAAGAAAGCTTAACCTACATAACATTCAAGGCAATAATTGGTAACTTTATCTTGACATTTTCAAGGGAAATTGCGGAAAATTACAAACTACATCCATTTTCCTTAATCTTACCGTTGAAACAGCAGGGATTTGGTTTTAAAAGGAAATTCGAATTTTCGACAGGACGCCACCAGCTGACCTCATAAAGAAACCTTTCTGCTAGAAAAGGACGTCTGGTCGTTAACTGATGGCTAACGCTGCAGACAAGGAACGATACAAACCCCACCACTTAAACCTGTACTTACTGTGCTTACTGTGCCGCAAAAAAAATGAATAGAACAGAGACAAGCGATAAGGGAAAGTGAGACGAGAGACGCTCATATAAACATTGGAAACAATGCGTCACCGGCAACTGGAAGAACTAACAGAGGTAGGATTTCGCTCGGGCAATTCAAATGCATATATATTTTTATTTGTAGGCTCTAACTACAAATTAAGTATAGCAATATCACACAGAATTCTGAGCTTTGCGAGCTTAAACACTAGTCCCAAAATAGTTTTGCACAACAGTATTCTCTCATTTGAAAATTCACATCTTTCCAAATAAAACAACCAGCAACTTGAACTTTTCACCATCTTTAACTGACACTTTGTTTTAAATGTGGTGAAAGTTTCACCGCAATCGCCGCTAATCCTGAGTTTTGCCAGCTAATAAGCGTTGGTTTAAAAATCTGCAATTTTTTGTGTTTTCGTTCCGGATAATCGGCTATTGGCAACATTGCAAACCTCAAAATTATACCTGTCACGAACTTAACCATAGAAAACCTAGATATGTGCACGTTTTCCGGCTTGACTTGGATATAAACAGACAAATATTAGAGCAGAAAAGCATTAAAAAATGGCTAAATTGGAAAAATCCGTGCATAAAATGCAGAAGAAGTCAAAGGCAAAGAAGATAGTCAAATCGAAGAAGAAAGTTCCACTTGCATTTAAAGCAGCTAGACTGAAATCGCGTGCTGTTATCGAGGCCCTAAACAGCGACTGTGAAATCGATGAGTATATGGAAAAATCGCCACAGCCCGACGTTGATTCTGTTGCCGATTTAGATGTGGAAAACAGCGGCTCTGAGTCCGAGGAGAAACTGGATGAGGAGGCATTGGCGGATAAACATAAGCAGGATCTGAACAAGCTGAAAGAAACTGATCCAGAGTTTTACAAGTTTTTACAGGTAAAGTGTTTAATTCTTTATCGAAACAACAAATATTCCATGATCTACGTATTAAAAATCACATGTGTTTTCACATACTTTTTCTATTGTGTTTCTATTCCATTTGCACTGTTTTATGTTTGAATAATTTGACTTTCGTTGCTGCAGGATAATGATAAGAAGCTGTTGCAATTTTCCCTTTCTGATGACGAACCGGAGGATAATGAAGAGGACTCTGAAGAGCCCATCCATAAACCAAGAGATGATTTGGAAGTAGGCAGCGATGAAAGCGATTTTGAAGTAAGTATCCAAACTTATTATGTCTAAAAAACTGCCCCGACTATATTAAATAGCGGTAAATATCTGGAAAGCGGCTCAAAATATATCCATTATCATTAGTCTTTTGGACAGATAATTTCAAGAATGATCTTTCCCGGATTGAATTTTAATATACATTCCTAACTATTTCGGTAGAGTCTCGAAAATATCCTAGCTTTAGAAACTTTAATTTAATAAATTAATTTTGTAATGTTTGGTTTCAGGCTGAAGATCAAGAAGATAAACACGTTGATAAAAAAGTGATTACATTGAAACTCATAAGAAAATGGCAAGTTGATATCCAAACCGATAAGAGTAACAAAACTATAACACAAGTTATGCAAGCATGCCATGCGGCATTAAAAAGAATATCAGGCGATAATGAAGAAGACGATGGACCGGTAAATTTCATAGTGGACGGTGGGTATTTTCTACGATTTTCCATTGTACTTTATGTAAAAATGTATTATTTTGCAGGATCCGCTGTTTTTAACGGGGTGTTACAGCTGTGTGTCATGCACTTATGTCCGGCTGTTAGAAAGTTCCTTGGCTTACATACAGGCTCAAAACAACCTCCTCACAAATGCAAGAAATTTATCAAAATTAAAAAGCCGTTGAAGGGGTATTTTATGGACTTATTGAAGGTAAGATTCTGCGCTTAAAATGCACTTGGTGGTTTTTAAAGTTGCGACATATTTAATCGTTAAGCTGGGAAATTGGAACTGAGAAAAATCACTTAAAGAAGTAAGAAACTGTAGTGTAAATATGCGTTTTTTTCAGCTCTTGGTTGGTGTAACATCCTCGAACATTCAAACAGTGCTGTTGAAACACCTTCACTATATGTGTCCAATGTTGAATTCTTACACGAATATAACAAAATCGATCCTGACAAAGTTGATTAGAATTTGGGGAACTGCCGATGATTCAGTGAGAGTGCTGGCATTCTTTTGCATTTTAAGGATAGTGAATAACCAGATGGCTGGCACGCTATACATTTGCCTTAAGTCGATGTACATGACTTATGTAAAGAATTCCAAGTTTGTGAGCATCGGCTCACTGGCTGGTATCAACTTCATGAAACGATCATTGGTGGAAATGTTTTCACTTGATACTAATGTTGCTTATTCGCATGTGTTCTTGTACATAAGGCAATTGGCTATACATCTGAGGAATGCCATAACAGCCAATAAAAAGGAGAATATTCAGGCGGTGTATAATTGGCAGTTTGTTAACTCGCTGAGATTATGGGGGATGTTGCTGTCTGTGACACATTCCAAGCCCCAAATGCAACAGCTTGTTTACCCGTTTGTGCAAGTGTGTTTAGGAACACTGAGGTTGATTCCTACAGCCCAGTATTATCCTCTGAGGTTCCATATTGTGCAGATTTTGATTGATTTTACCAGGGATACGGGCGTTTTTGTCCCCGTGTTGCCATTTCTTCTTGAGGTAAGTTGAGAGTGAGGTTTTTATAGTTGGGTGGATTTTTCGAGCTAAGCAACTTTCAGGTTTTAACGTCGTTTGATTTTAACAAGAAGCACCAAAAAGTCTCAATGAAACCGATGCATTTTACGTGCCTTCTCAGGCTATCCAAGTCACAATTGCAGGAGAATGGTTTTAAAGATACCGTCATCGATACGATTTATTCGCAACTATTGGAATATTTATCTATCATGTCCCATACAATTAGTTTTCCTGATTTGAGTCTCATATGTGTTTTGCAGGTGAGAACATTTCGCTCGGTAAATGACTGAGCCTATTGGTTAATGATTTCAATTGATTTTCAGATAAAGGAGTTCATCAAAAAGTGCAAAGTGACAAACTATACCAAAAAACTGAAACAAGCCCTAGATAAAATTGAGCAAAGTGCACGTTTCATCGAAACGGAGCGTTCAAAAGTAACACTGAACCTAATGGATTTGAAGCAAATCGAAGGCTGGGAGGCGCAAATAAAGGTCAAAGGAACGCCACTGACAACATTCTACGAAACATGGAGTAAAATTCGCAATATGAAGAAGAACAAGGAGGTGACCAACAATGAAGCCCTGGGCGACTACCAGTTGCCCACGCTGAAGAAGCGAGATAAAACTGTTGCGAAGAAAGAAGAGGGGCCAGTTGAGCTTTTCCCCAGTGATTCCGAAGATGAGGAGGCTGCTGGCGATCAAAAACAGAAACGAGGCAAAAGAGGGGGCAAAAATGCCAGGAAGATCAAAACGATTATTAGCCAAATTAACGATGAGGACATGGGCGATGATGAAGGCGATGTTGTGCAAGAGATATCCGCAGATGATTGGTGATAATTTATCGTTAATAATGTTATACACCGCTTTTCTAATAAAGTGTCTAAGATGTTAACTGTTAATTATAACGGTATTTTAAAATAACTATCTAGTCTTTTATTAAACGATTTAATGCAGAAAGTTGCGATAAACGCACGAGAATATGTTTGGGCAATTAAATTATTTCCCCAAATAATTTCTCTTATAACATATAAATTTATTAAAAAAGTAGGGATGTTGCGGATTCAATCAAATTCAAATTTCCTCAAGTAACCTCTGTGATCTGTGGCAACCTTTATACTTTGACTACCTGTATACGTTGACTCACGTGGGCGATTACTTTACAAGTCAAAACAAATAACTGAATTTGTGTTTACTTTTCTTTGTTCCATGTGAATTTTTGTCCCAGGCTTTATACTTGGATTATTTAGACCCCAGACTACATACTATACTGATTTAGACGCCAAATAGTATCTAGGTCTCTAGCAAGCATGGAGAAGAACTTGGATCGTGTAATGGAAGAAATGTAAGTGAAACAAACTTGCAGAACTTATCTACCTGGTTTAGAAATTCACTATTTTTGTCTGTTAGATGCAGTAATGGGGAAGTATTAGGTTGCCTGTTTTCTGATCATCAGGGGTTCTGTATAGGATGTAAGTATTAAGTCTCCTGAGCTTTATAGATCAACATAACCCCGAATATCCTTTTAAAGCGAGGGGCCTAGCTTCTAATGAAAGCGCCGGATTTATCACAGCAATTGCCAATCAAGCCGCTAAACTAGAACCTAATAGCAAACCACCCATTATTACTTTAGAGAACGATAGCCAACTGTGTATCATCCAAAAAATGGGCACTGTGACTGGGGCCATTTATAAACGGACTTAGTCTCTCTCTCATTGCAGAACCTTAATTTTTGTTTGTTAAATATTTATTAAGTTTTTATTTGTGAAAGGCAATACATATTTGTCCGAAATGTAAATATGTTCATAGAACCTGTATTGTTTCTGTACGTGATACGGCTGTTGCAAAGCAGTTCAGTTAGTTCTGGATAACAACATTTAATAAGGCAAAATTTGGTTTCAACAATCAAATTTTATTAAAATCTGAAGATCAACAATCAACACGTTCTTCATTATATCACAAAACATCAGTCGGTTTTCAACGACACCCTCCTTTTATAGTTGGCATAACCAAGTTCAAGCAAGCTTCTGTTTTCTAACATCCATGTAATCATCGTCAATAGGAAAAAGAAGGCACCAAATCCGATATGAAGCAACATTGAATGTGGCAAGAAGTAAAGCTAGAACGGTTTAAATTTCAGAACAATAAGCGCTATCAGTCTAAACTTATTGATATTATGGGCTTTAATCTGCATCTTCGAAGTCATATTCGGGGCCTCCGAAGAAGCGCCTCCAGCATGGGTCAGCTAGACGAAAAAACGGTCAAACAAATTTTTGATTGTTTGCTATTTTCAACCACCAGGGAAATATCAACATTCTAATATTTACCTCTGAGTATTTGGTGCATATACCCGAGAAAACAAGTACACTTAAAAACTTCCACGTAGGAATAAGACCGTCCAGAGGGCGATAGACTGTATCCAAATACTTGGTGTGTATAAAGTGCAAGCTGTGTATTATTCGTGCTCCCATATTTGAACAATTCGCCAATATAAAGCCTACTGGCCCAAACACGTTCGTTAACACATAGGAAATCAGTAGAAAACATATGGAGAAAATCACCATTAAGTAGTTATACCTGAAACAAACATTAGGGCGAATGCTGTTTTGATCGTCTTATAATATTCACTCACTTATCCAGTTGGTTATTATTCATGGTAGCAAACACATAGGCTTCAGTTACGCCGTTTATAGCTAATAATACTATGGCGAAGCAGTGAAATTGAAGAAGAGTGGTGGGTAACGCGGTAGAAACTAATTTCTTTCCACCGTAGAAATAGAGCAAACTGTAGCTATAGGATTGCCCAAAAACGACTCCAATCAAGCCAATACTTGTAACAACTTTGCACAGCTGACCCAGCACTTTGGCAGCTTCGGCTACATTTTTCTACAAATTAAATTCTAAAATGATTTTGCAGCGAAGTTTTACGGTAGTTTTTCACCTCATTTTGCTTCTTCAAAGGCTGATCCCTGTGAATCATCTGGGTAAAGTAGAAATATGCAGACTCTTCAATGGGTCGAAAGATGAACCTAAGTCAACCGATTTAACACAGAGAAATGAGCGAAGAGCAAAAGTTAGAAAAGAGGAAAATATCGGGGGCCCTATAGAAAAATCATCTGAATCAATTCAGGTTTAACCCGAAATAAATAAAGCTCACAGCAGACCGTTTCTCAATATTTTCCATTTTTCAAAACTAAAGTACAAAAGCAGGAACTTTAGGGATTTGTGTGTATACCTTGCAGCTAAGCTTCCTAAATTGTTAACAATATCGTAAATCGATTGTTGACTGAACGTTAATACTGGAGATATGGTCATCACATATCTTTCACCTTCTGTTAGTACTTGTTTTATAACTGATTGTTTTAGAAAACTGATTGTTAGCACCAGTAGATTGCTATCAATTTTTTCATCCTAAAAGAGCGACTAAAGTTAATCATCCCCCATTTAAAGGAACTGACTGGCGTTAGTTACCTCATTAAACATGAATCCGGGGAAAAAATTCAACACGCTTCGAAACGGGAAATCAGACATGTCCGAAAATAGTGGAACCATTTTTTCATTCTCATCTTTATCTTCCTGCTCTCTATGCTTAATTAGTCGGGGAATGTACCAAGTAAAGAATCCATAGTATAAAGCACACAGGAGAACAGCGGACACTATTTGTGCAATTGAGAACGCATTTATTGCTTCATTTGGATGATTCACAACTAAATAGACGAATGTGACGGTTCGGCATACAATGTAAATGGTTTCTATAATTATCTGAAACATTGTAGAATTA